ATGCCCCTTTATCCCTTGGAAAGAATTCATGTACCCAGGGATACATTTATCCCAGTGTACAAGTATTATTAGATATTATGTTAATTTTGAAAAATTTCTAGTAAATACAGTAGGAATGTTTTTTTAAAGAAACTAAATTTAAAAAAATATATATTTAGCATAATTTCTTATCCATTTACCAAATAACTTTTTTTTTTAATTAGAGACAGGGTCTCATTCTGTCACCCAGGCTAGAGTGTGGGGGTGCAATCATAGCTCACTGCAACCTCGAACTCCTGGGCTTTAGCGATCCTCCTGCCTCAGTCTCCTGAGTACTAGTACGACAGGGACCACCATGCCTGGCTAATTTTTTTTTTTTTTTAATTTTTTGTAGAAACAGGATCTCACTCATTGCCCAGGCTGATCTCAAACTCCTGGGCTCAAGAGATCTTCCCACCTCAGCCTCCTGAAAGTGCTAGGATATAGGTGTGAGCCATCACAACTGGCCCAAATGACTTCAAAAAGCAAACCAGGTGGGTTGTTTGAAAAGGATAATCAGATCCTAATATTAAAAAAAAAAATACAAATTTTCCTATAAATATGTCTATCAAGTTACAGAATTTACATTTCTTTGAAGAAGACTTTATGAATGAAAATCTGATAAAGAGGCACTGAGTTTTAATACTAACAAAAGAATTAATGTTAATATATTGCAGTGTTTTTAATACAGTTTTTACAACATATTCATGAATTGATTCATGTATTATACATTATAACACAGATGAAAACATTACTGTTAACAAGGACATCTGCCAGTAAAGTTAATATAAAAATGGCTGATTTAAAGTCAATGCATTAATTAATCAGTTATTTTATAAGTAACTCACTTGATTCCATTCATAAAGTATGGAGGTGCAAGTCAATTAAAAACTAGAGATCATACTAGAGAGCAAAGAGGCAAAAATAGGTAACTAAAAAAGATTTTACAAAATATTCTTAGTTTATTCTTATGACAGAAAATGCTTTAAAGCTAAATAGTACTAAGAAAATTAAAAATAGATATTATGGCTAAAAATAAGGTTGTTCTAGGTCTAGTATTTTCATAGATTAACCCTAAAAATAAAGTAACAGAACAGTTTTCAGTTGGCAATAAACAATCTACCTTTCATTAAAAAAAGAAAAAAAACTCAAATGTATCAACTGATACAAACATAAGGTAAAAAATCCTGTCTTTTGAATGTTACCAAGTCCAAGGCATCATTCATTATTCCCCAGTCACAAACTGCCTTTAAAAATGTGGCTTATAAAGCAAATCTAAAAAGTTATTGCTAACGTGACCAAATTCGACATTTATACACTAACTGAACTTATCTCGATTTTCATACATCACAATTAAATTATTTAAAGAGAAAGAGAAAACCTCAATTTTTTAAATTCAAAAATACCTCTGATTAAAAAAAAATCCAAGCTTCCTGAAATGACAAAAACTGGAAACTAGAATAAAGAGACATAAACATAGATGACAGTGTAACTTACTCTCTATTTTTAAAATGAAAAAGCCTAAGTGTGGCAATTATTTTTCAGTATGTTTCCCTTATTTTCCCACCCTAACCCTCACGTTATCACCAGACCTTAACTTTTAAAGTAAAACTAGGTGAAAGTTTTACCACTGAAAAGAAAAAAAATTACATAAGGATATTGCTATTTCATATAAAAATAACTGCTCCTTTCAAATTTACTTTTATTCTTTCCTTTAAATCAAGCAATCACACATTATCATCATCAAGTAAAACACACTGAAACAAAAAGTATTCCTTTAAAATTAGTAGCCACCATAGAGAAAAAGAGAGGAAGTACAGTACCCTTACGGGTTTTTTTTAATTATGTGCATTTTAAGTATAAAATGACATTTGTTTTTAAAAAGGTATTTACCTATATAGCTTTGTTTAAAATTTTAAATATTGGAGTTTTCCTACAAGCTTAGTAGTTAAGAATTTATGCAACAGGTTCCTTCTGTCCAAATCCTCCTTTTTTCCACAATCTGCTAATCCTTTTGAATATTTGCTCTGCCTCTTCCCCCATTTCCTGAGGATCACCACCAACCCTACAAGGAAAAAATATCAATACTACAAAATTATGAAATAAAGAGTCTTACTAAAGACTCTACTTAATTTGGGGATGGGGGGAAGTAACATAAGGAGAATTGTTTTAATGGCACCATGATAAATTCCTGAATTTTGACAGAAAAAAATCACAGTCTTAAGGTCATCAAGTAAAAGAAGAGCTAAAAAACAGAACTTACATCTAGTAACCATGGTAAAATATCCATGCTTTGGGTACTCAAATGCAAGCTCCTTGCGAAAGGGCCTATTTCCTTACAGATAGGCACTAATGTCCAAAAAATGACTACACACACTCACTAAAAAATAGAGGTGTCTTTTAAGCCAATGAATTGATATCTTTGGTACAAGTTATAATTAAGAAAACAGTATTTCTGCGTTGGGGCAATGTAACTATGCTAGTTAAAGTCAAAGATGTCACCAAGAGAAATGGCAAACACCTACAGTAAATATGGCAGAATGAATTGTAAAGAACAGCAGAGTATCAGGAGATTTAGCTCAAGCCCGATTCTACTGCTGTTACAACCTATCCAGGCTCAGTTTCCTCAGATATATAAAGTAAGAGAGCTTGACCATGAAGGCCCTTTTGGCTGTGGTTTTATTACCTCACCTTCAAGTCATTATGTGATCATACAATTTGTAGGAATCACAAACAGATACTTCTATGAATTCTGAATTCTTTCTTAACAAGATTCTAAGTATTACATTCTGGGGCAGTCAGTTTTACACAGGGTTGTATCGGGCTTCCTCCTCCAAGATTTGTATGAACTTCATTTAAAAAAAATAGCACTTGTGAAACACATTCTCAAAACAAAACAAAAACTCAAAGAAAGTGACTGTAAATCTGAAACATACCCCAAATCCTCACTTCCAACTTTGCCAGTAAATTAACATTTTTTATAAATTTAAAATCACTTATCAAATTTCTAAGTACAAGATGACTCAGTTATTAAATTTTTACACTATTGAACACTGAACCTAACTTATGTTGTATGTGTATTTCAATTGTTTCTAATTGCTCATACTAATGTGGCTCAACATATAGTTTATGGTTCATGACTGAACATGGTTAAGTGAAAATAGTGATATGATGATATGACATGACTAAACATGCAATTCCCACATGCAGCATTTCAGTGTAGTCTGTTAAATCATTAAACAAAAGATTCTTAACTGCATACAGTTAAGAAGTCTTCTATTGATCATTTTCATATATATGCCCTTTTTTGAGAATGTTATTGGTACATCATGTTAATCTTTCTCCAGTTTAAGAATTCTTGAACTGGGATCCATGGATCAGCTTCAAAGAATCCATGAACACTCTAAAGTTTATGTAAAATCATGGTATGTGGACATTTTTCTGGTAAGATCCAAAAACAGTTCAGAACCATTCTAATGTTTTTCTCATCAAGCATTAACACATACATTATATTACAATAATTTTTCTTCTAATTTAAGTTACTTGTCCAAATATGAACAGTTATGAAAGTGACTTTTCTCTGATCGTATGTCGAATTTCATTATAAGGGCCCATTTACTTGTGCATAATCCACAGTATAACGTAAGCTACCAAAAGGTAGGACTGTGCCATGCACATAATTGCCTTATCATTTTCTATAATAAACAGTTTCTTTCACCTCAAACTGACAACTTTCTCTTATGTAAAATACCCATGATTAACTATTTTATAATGGGGAAAATGAAAATTTCCATAGCCTATTAAAATTAGTTACATTAAAAAAATATTTAGCTATCATATCTACTTCACTGAAGTTTATAAGAATTAAGTAGGTCAATGCTTACAAAGCATTTGCCCTACAATAACAACTAAACATATGCATTCTTAAGACAGTAGTCTTCTATTTTAAAAGCTTTTTCTCATGAAGATAAAACTCATGGAAGTTGAGAATTTCTAGTATACAAATTAGATAAATTTTTGTCAATTGGACCAAGGGTATAATTTATACTTGAGCATCCTTTGTGTAACCGGGGTTACCCCATCCATAGTAAGGAATCTACAAAGCCATGTAGTTATGCTTGATTCTAACGTGGATTAGACAGGCACAGATTTACTGAAGAAAGTATACAAATGTTCTAAACACAAATGAAATTTATTTTAATATAAATGAAATTTATAATTAGAAATTAAAAATCTAAATTAAAAACCAGAAGAACCGGAAATTGTGTAATAGATATAAAAATCTATCACACAACAGCACCATTTTCAAATACTTATTTCATAACGTCACAGCTTCCAATTATTAAGGCAAACCAAACACTAAAACAAACAAAAAAATCAACAACATACAATGTAAACTTTAAAAAGCGTAAGAAAGATAATATAACTTAATAATTGGAATATGCCTTAATTATTTTAATTATGGCATGATTTAACTAAAACAAATGAAACAAATTCAAATAAAAATTGTGATTCCAGCTCATGAGAATATAAAAGACTTGAGAATATTCAAAAGTAAATGTACTTTGTCTTAAACACAAAGTACTAGAACATTTGTTCCTATATATGCTGATAACAAACATTATACAGTAAAATGCTCTTAATTCTGTTTCTATCTATTCATTCTAAAAGAGCCAAAAGGAAGAGAAAAAAAATATCAAAATTTTAAAAAGAAAAACCTCTATAACTATTGTTCAGCAGACTTCTTCAAGTCAATAGTAATTAACTATTGGAATTTACAATGAGTCATCTGTTTTAAATTTGGCCTTGAAATGACTACATCATTTATTTTGAAATAAAAATCCTAACCCTATACCACAAGATTAATTTTTTTTAACACCAAGAGAAAATTTTTCATAGTTCTACATAAACAATCCAAGATTCATCTTTATGCCTTAATCACGAAAGGTTTACTAGGTTAAAAGGAAATGTCAACATTTTACCTTTATTAATGAAGTCACAACAATTGCTCCAGCATTTACCATAGGATTATGTGGTTTATCTGTAAAATATAAAAGCAATAATAGTATTTCAAATACCTAGTAGCATTTTCTTCAATGTATACTTACTTCTCATAAACATGAACTTTTTAAAATTAATGTAAGTCATTGATATAGTTCTTTTTTTAGAGAGAAAGGGGCATTTGAGTCAGCTACACATCAAACCAGTAATTTATTTCTAGAATGCTGCTGTAATAATCATACAGTCAAACACAGATTCATGTACAGAAAGACAACAAATAGTAATATAAGAGCAAATCTAAAACTCTGCCATTATGTATTGCCATAATGAACTTCACTCTGTCTAAATTTTCCTAACTATAAACCAGATAATAACAGCACCTACATCTCAGCTAGTTGTAATGACTGAATTAAAACACATGAAATACTTCAAAAGTACCTGGCAAACACTTAGGTACTCGAATAATATTAATATATTAAAAAGAACCTTGGAAAAAACACATCTAGCATAAACCCAATTTTGCTTTTTTAAAAGTGTTTTATTCTTGTGCTTCGATGTAAACACATACTCAGAACAAAACACAAACAAATGATTTACATAGAATAATAAGCTTATAGGGGATTTTAAATTGTATTATCTGTGCTTTCTATATTTTCTGACAATAAGAATGTATTTCTCATATAATTTTAAAAGTTACTTAAAATTTTTTAAGTTTATCCAAAATCGTAATTCTTCTCCTAATTCTTACAATCGACAGAATTTCAATTCTCAACTGATTATATTCTCATTCTCTGCATGACGCAAACACCAAATACAAAACTCTAGAGAAATAGAAAACATCTATTTACAAGCAATTTATCCTAATTTATCTACCTAATGTTTACCAGGGGTAGGGGAAAGGAGGAATTGGAGGGATATTGATCAAAGGATATAAAATTTCATTTAATAGGAGGAATAAGTTTAAGAGATTTATTTTATAACATGTTGACTATAGTTAATAACAAGTATACTTGAAAACTGCCAAAAATGCATATTTTAAGTCTTCTCACTACAAATAAACATTAAGTATGTAAGGTAATACATATGTTATTAATAATTAGCTTGTTTTAGCCATTCCACAATGCATATGTATTTCAAAACATCTTTTGTACACCATAACTATATATAATTTTTATTTATCAATTAAAAATAAATAAAAAGAAAAAATTGCACATTTGGGGTTACTCATGATAATGCAAAAGTTGCAAAAGTTAAAATAATGTTAAAATAAAATCTTGGTGTTACATCTGATTATTACAATCAAGATTTGCCTATTCTAAATTATACCAAGAGAAGTTTGCTTCCTCTAAGACCACACGAAATGAGAGCACTTGCTCCCAGAAGAATATTACATGGCAAGAGGGAGCCAAGAAGCAAAATTTTCCAAATACTAACCACCTGAAAAAAAAAAAAAAAACACATGCAGATAGAAAGCAGAATATAGAAATCAGGATGTGCTAAATTAGTTTATACTAATATTTGTATAGATGTTCATATATCTGTCATTTCAGAGTTTTCTGACATTATCAGGCTTAGGCCCTGGGGCCCTAGGAGGCAGCTAATATACATATTCCAAATGATACCACATAAACACAGGCACTAAATATTTTCTAAATGATAAATACTCTGCAAGTGCTACATAAATTATATTCAGGATGTCTTAAAGAACACTAAATCATTTCATGGCATGAAAGCATAGTTTTCAGATGTAGTCAACTGCTCACTCTGCCTTTGGCTCAAAAGCCACACCTCTGAACATTTGAAAATCCACCAGAGAGAATATAACACGAGCCTAAACTGCAGCATAAAACCTTAGTCTAAGGCCTATGACTGTGAAATCTATTTGTTTCCTGCTCTGCCATAAGACAGAGTTGAAGGATTCAATTTAGAATTCTTAATTGAAAAATATTTATGAATAGCAGAAATAATATATAACACACTAACTTAATAAAGGCTATCGTTTGAAGTAATGGCATATATTAGAGCTTGTTATACTGACAAAATGAACACGGGCTACATCTGAAATTTATGAACATATTTTTAACTAGAATGCATAAAACTGATCAATTTTAACAAGTACTTATTCTCCCCAAGGCAATAAAACATAGAGTTCTTTCATATTATATTAGAAGAAGCTTTTCAGACGGCTAAGTATATGAACCTTACAAAGATGTGGTTCACAGCTGAGGCTAAGGCAAAGTTTGCTAATACATATACTAAAGAACTAAAACGTTTAAAAAGGATGTCCAGTTTAATTTGGATATTTATATTAGAAGTATTATTTTGGAATTTTACAGTGCCATATAAAAATTACAGTTAAAGAAACCTAATTATCCCAAATTATACATGTTTACAATATATTCTATATATGGTTTAATTCTGCAGTGCCCCCTCACATCCTCCCAACCATCGAAATTTCACCCTATCAATTAAGTCCTGTCTTCCTCATGTAAATTAACTCAACCCCTCTTCTTTCTCAAATCTTCTACACATATAACCAGCACATGCCTTTTGGCACCTGTCAATTACATACTTATAAGATAATATAACTTATAGTATGTGAAGCTTGTCTTATTCAACCATGTAATAGAGATATGTCATTGTTTTCTGTATACTGTAGTATTAGCTAGATAAGTTACTGTAAGAACCAAAACCCATACCCTCCAGAGATGTTAACAATACTGACAAAGAAGGCTATACAAATAATTTGTTGATTAACCTAATTATTAATACTATAAGGCAGAAAAAGACTTCCCTGGGAGATGGTGGTTTTCAAAATTGACATCTCCATAAAGTAACCTGTTTGCTCATTCATAATGACAGAAAATGTTAGCAAAGTCCTCCCACAGGACCAAGACTTTTATGCTGTAAACATTTTAAAACTACTGTTATTAGAAACTACTACAATTTCTTTATCTATTCACTATATTCACATTAATAAATCATTATAATCTTATAAAGCACATTAATAAATTTTTTAAATTTTGTAATTCTAGATACACACAGACACGAAGTGTATAATTTCGCTATAAATCTACCCTTGCAATTATAAATATGAAAAAGATCTCCTAGTTTGCATTCAGCTAGATAGTGTTTAGATTTAAAATTTCTGTAAGATCAAAGTACTAGCCGGGAGTGGTGGCTCACACCTGTAATCCTAGCACTCTGTGAGGCCTCCAAGGTGGGCGGATCATTTGAGCTCAGGAGTTTGAGACCAGCCTGAGCAAGAGTGAGACCCCGTCTCTACTAAAAAAATAGAAAGAAATTAGCTGGACAACTAAATATATATATACATAAAATTAGCCAGGCATGGTGGCGCATGCCTGTAGTCCCAGCTACTGGGAGGCTGAGGCAGGAGGATCGCTTGAGCCCAGGAGTTTGAGGTTGCTGTGAGATAGGCTGATGCCACGGCACTCTAGCCCGGACAACAGAGTGAGACCCTGTCTCAAAAAAAAACAAACAAAAAAAAAAACAAAGTACTATCTTTGTCTTCCCCTTTACTTTTGAATTCTTATAAAGTTATAACTCTTGTTAGTTATCCAGCTATTTAACACAAGGTGTTTCTTTCAAATACTAAATGTTATGAAGGAAAAAAAGCAAAAACACTCAGAAAGAAAAACAAAAAATCCCCACTCACTAATCTCAGCCACAGCCACCATAAACTTTTTATTACTGGCGTTTTCAAATACTATATACAATATACAAAAGTAGAAATAATAGTATATGAACATTCATGTACCCATCATTTAGCTGCAATTATTACCAACGTATAATAATAATCACACTCAGCATTCCCATCTGCCTCCACTGAGTTATTTTTAAGCAAAGCCCAGACATTTTGAAATTTTGGTATAATATGTTCCCCTGTAGGTGGTTATAAAAAGAAATTCTTATTCCCTGCCCCCATCTTCTCCCTGGACCACTCCCCAGGGGTATGAGAAGCCTAGAATAACCATTTTAAAAAGTAGCTAATTAAACTATCTCTATGAATTTCACAGAAATCCCATGACAAATTAAAAAAATACATAAACACAATTTTTTTCAAAAAAATTTTTTACTACTTAGATTTACGTAGGAAAATGTGATATTTCTTTTTCCACCCAATTTTTATGTAATTCTTACCATCTTCATTTAAAAATAGTTTGTTGAATCTTAGTCCACTTGGCTCTTTTCCAACATATCGATGTACACATTCAGTTCCAAGATCATTAACAGCAATGGCATATTTCAAAGGTTTTACACAGGACTGAAGACAAAAGGGAACTTTGGTATCTCCAATAGAATGCCTATTTAAAAGTAGATTTAAAAACTAATTAACATCAGCTGGGAAAAAACATAACTGCACAATTGCAGTTATTCTTTTTAAATATTAATTCCAAAAATTTTCTCATAATTCAACCATAAAAGTTTACTTCAATATTAAAGAATAAGTATCAAAATAAATTATCCCTTGGTATCTATGGGAGATTGGTTCCAGGAACCCCCATGATACCAAAATCCACTGATCCTCAAGTCTCTTACATAAAATGGCATAGTATTTGTATATAACCTACATTTGTCCTCCTGTATACTTTAAATCATCTCTAGATTATTTATAATATCTAATACAATGTAAACGCTATGTAAATAGTTATTGTACTGTATGGTTTAGGGACTAGTGACAAGGAAAAAAGTCTATGTTCAATACAGATGCAATCATCCATCTTATTTTTCTCTAGTATTTTCAATCTGCAGTTGGTTGAATCCATGGATGTGGAACCCACAGATACAAAGGGCTGACTATATATTTAAGAGAAATACTGCAAAAAAAGGCAAAAGTATAAAAGTACTCAGATAATAGAATAATGGTTCTGAATTAGATAATAAATAAGTAATGTGGAAACTGTTCTCTGACGCAAGAGAATAAAAGTTTGCCTCTCCTTATACTCCTCTGTATTCAATCATATAATATGAACTAACCCTTTTAGAAATTATTCAGGCCAAGAACGGTGACTCACGCCTATAATCCTAGCACTTTGGGAGGCCGAGGTGGGAAGCCTGCTTGAACCGAGGAGTTCAAGAACAGCTTGAGCAATGCAGCAAAACCCAACTTCTACAAAAAGTAGAAAAATTAGCCGTGGTGGCACATGCCTGTAGTTCCAGCTACTCGAGAGGCTGAAATGGGAGGATCACTTGAGCCCAGGAGTTTAAAGCTGCAGTGGGCTATGATGACGCCACTGCACTCCAGCCTGGGCGACAGAGTAAGATCCTGTCTCCAAAAAAAATTATCTTTTTTTACTCACAGCTTTAAGCCATGGCTAAACAATGGTTAGTTTAAGACTTAAACAGCTCAGTTTAGATTCAATACTAGTCTCTGAGACCCTGTCTTTAAGTGCCTCATCTTGTGAACCACATCCACTCACAATTCAACTCCATTAAAAGAAAAACATCCAGTTTTAAAAATCTGACAGAGCTGCCACTAAGTTCCAGTAGGCAGTCATCCTCACCATATAGATAAACAAAAGAACAAAAAGAAAGCTTTGCATTACTAAACTGAGAGGTACATGAAGTAGAGAGTAAATTTAGGAATGAAAAAATTCTGGCCAACCCAATTATAATGTAAGGTTCACAAGGGCTGTTTCACTCACTGGTGTATCTCAGGTGCCCTCAACAATGCCAACATATCACAGGCCCTCATTCATTCATAGTGAAACTCACTCACAGTGAAACTGGGCACTATTAATAACTACCTCACACAGAGGTTAACAGAGACATCAGAAGTCAAACAGGAATGCATGGCCATCTCACTTCTAAGTATGTTACAGAATATAAATACGTGTGTGTGTGTGTGTGTGTGTGTGTGTGTAGCAAAACACATATTTTCCCTATCAAATTTATGCATAATTTCTAGTTCAGACTATAACTTCAACTTGACAATCATTCTAAAAAATGATAAAAAGGCTTTGGATTTAAAAATATACATGTTCTAGTTCTGAAGTCAATTTTCACAATTCTCTAGATAAAAAAATTAAAAGATACAGAGAATGTTTAAGAAAAGAAAAACCATATACAAGCATTACATGATAATAATTTCCTTCAAATTCAAAGATTTCCATTATTTGATAAACTATTTCTTCAAAATGCAAAAATAGGAATATCACTCCCTACTGGAATTTGCTCCATGGGATAAAGCTACCATGTCTCTTCATTTCTTTGTGTCCCCTTCAGAAAACCCACTATTTAATTCAACACGTAGGAAGTGTTTAGTACATTTTACAGGTCCAAATGAGGATAAAGGCCTATAATAATGGAAAGAAAACTGTACTAGAAGAGACCTTGTTTCATCTTTGCCAAGATCATGTCAACTCTGGGCCTCAGATTCCTTATCTTCAAAATGAATGGGCTAAACCATACTTTTTTTATGGTAAATATTTGAGGATAATTAGTAAAAAATAAAACACTTAGAATAAAGGCACTTAAGAGATAAAATTTTCACAGAAGGAGGGGAAAGTCTTTACTTGTAACATTATCCTGAAAAGTGAAACCTAAATTTATTAGGTTTATATTTACAACCTGTAGTTAACAAAATTTAGGTAAAATTACATCTCTGATATAAATTCCTCGCGCTGTATTTATTTACAAGCTGTATATCTTATTTTATGCAAGTTATATTTTAATAAAAAAAGAAATAATTACTTTAATAAAAAACAAAAATCAAAAAGAATACATCTCTCAGCTAAGTCTTTAAATGAGTGAAAAAAGAATACTGATCTTTCTCTTTGGCATAATTTTTCTGACAAAACCAAATTACGACATGATGATAAATCCTTATGTCTGACTCCCAGCACAATAAAAAGGGACATTTTTGAAAAAATATTCCAAAACTTTACCATTTTTCAAGAACCTCTCTTAATTCTTTGATTTTTAAATCAAATCATTCTCTTTAAAGCATCCTCACATCACTATTCTTTTTATAATCCTGAAAGTTCTTCATTTGTCAGTGGCTGTGCTTACAACGTGAGCCTTTCCCAGATACTGCTTCCATAGACTTAATGAAATCCTACATGCTTTGCAACTGACGTGTCATATTGCAAATGACTGATGGATAATAGGATGTTATGCTGTACTGTCTTAACTCTCATGCTCTCATGCTAATCATATTAGGAACATGAGGAACAAAGAAAGATAATGACAGGATGGGTTACCAGTGTTAAGGTGAGAAATGGGGACTAATTTTATTAGTGGTCAGTTCATTAAAGAATAATGTCATGTTTTGAAAAGTCTGCTTTTCCTGAACCAATTTGTAACGCAGGTACTTGAATAATATTCAACAAGACTACAATTGTAAGTAAGACAGATGAAATGCCTCATAAAACTTAGCAAAGGTTACTGTTTCAGTTGAGTTAAAAATTACATTAAAACCTAGGGTAATTTATTTGCCTTATTGAAATTACGTCATGTTAGGACTAATTTTCATTATAAAAGATGGACTTTTCTACATCATGCTATTATGCAAAATTTAAAGCTTAGAGTTGGTTTTCATAGATTTGAAATAAACTTACCTCTGTCCATCTACTGTACAAACAGACACACCCCACAAATCAGGACTGAATTTGGCCAGTTGAGGAATATAATCTGCAACCTATCCAAAATATTAGAAAGAAATTAACAGATTTAATATAAGCAAATAACATGTTTTCTTCTACCAAAAAAAATTCTTGTCTCAATTTAGCTTCTACCAATGACATCAGTTATTTTAAAACACTCAGTGGCTATCTTTTATAACAATGTTCATGAAAACTAAGGACACGACAGATTATGGTGAGATCTAAGGTGACTTCTCTCAGTCTCTATTACTCTCTATGTTTGCCAATGCATTCTTTCTTCCTAAAAAAGCAGCGTATAAAGGAAGAACTTGGACTTGACTTTTTTTTTAACAGAAAAAAGTAAAAAACTTCTTTAAGTAGGGTTATGGGTACTGGTAGGGTTTCACTACCTAAAAAATTAGGAGTCAGATATTTAAAAATAAGAAATAAGTATTTAACACAAAAACGTTATGAAGAGGTTATACAATTGACCTTTGAACAACGCAGGTTTGAACTGTGAGAATGCACTTCTACGCAGATTTTCTTCCACCTCTGCCACTATCAGACAGCAAGACAAAGCCCTCCTTTTCCTCCTCAGTCCACTTAATGTGAAGACTATGATGAAGAACTTTATAATGATCTACTTCCATTTAATAAATATTAAATATATTTTCCCTTCCTTATGATTTTCTCAATAACATTTTCTATTCTTACTTTAAGAATACAGTATATAATAAATATAACATACAAAATATGTGTTAATTGATTGTTAATGTTATTGGTAACGCTTCCAGTCAATAGTAGTTATTGGCAGTTAAGTTTTAAGGAAGGCAAAAGTTACATTTAGATTTTCAACTGCATGCGTAGGGGCTCAACATCCCTAATCCTTGCGCTGTTAAAGGGTCAAGTATTAATATATTATACTAAAGCTACCCAAAGTTAAAACGAAAGAAAATAACTTTCCATATGGAGATTAAATAAAGTAGCTCCTGGTATTATTTAGAGGATTTTCAAAACTAGAAACATTTCATTTTATGTTCAAGGATATCAAACCTGCAGAAATTCTCGGTAAGGTT